TGGGCGGGGTGACCTACTTTCGACGGACACGCGCAACGGACGTCCTCCATATTTCCTGTGTTACGATTAAGTTTTGGGGAGTTGTCCTAGTGCAGTGATTTGTTTTAGTCGCAGAATAGCCACTCAATCGTTTAGAGCTCTCAGCAGGGATTTTTTGCTGAACTTTATACCTTTCATGTTAATTATTCTACCTTCGTTGAAATTTCGTGCTGTTAATATTGGCAAGAGAGTTTGCGCAGCGAAATTCATAGCGATTTTGACGACTTTAGCGCCTGTCAATGGGGCCCAGAAGTAGAGTAGATTAGTAGGATCAGCTAACCCTACTAATCTACTCTACTTCAAGTTTATGCCCCAATAATAGGCGCCAGAGTCGTTCCCGAATTTCGCCGCGCGCAGTTCAAATTGCATGAATGTAACCATACCAAAGTGTTCCCTGCTCGAGTTTTAACGAAAATTTGTAAATAAGAAATAAGAATTGTAAGGTGTGATGTTACCGAATTATTTTACTGCAATTGGTTATGTCTCGATGTATCTAGGCTTAACACTGGAGGGTATCTACCGTGTATCTTGCCCAAAAACACGGCTTGACGAACTTGAAAGAAAGGTCAATGAAGGCACGTCACTGAACTTCGTGGAGGCGCACGAAGCAGCTGGCCTTATCAAAAGGTTCGTTTGGATTTCATTCTGACAACTTTTGTGGACTGCACTCCTTGCTTGATACCTGTTAATTAGGTTTCTTCGGCAACTTCCAGAACCTCTTCTATCTAGCGATTTTGAATCAGCCGTGAAGGAATGCACGTGCGATTGGAGGAGTGCCTGTAACTGTACGACTCGTGACAAGGTAACTCCATATTTTGTATTTTTTCCTTTTCCTTCAAACATTTTTCTAGAATTCGTAGGCGCTCTTTGTTTGGAATTTTTTTAAAATTAATTTTTGTGTTGCAGATCAAGAAAATGTTGCGATTCACTCAAGCACCACAATTTTACGTGCTCGGATATATGTTTCTGCACATAAGAAATGTCATCGAAATGGTGAGTCTATAGTCTATACGACTACGATGTTTAGAGCAAGGATAAACTGATAAAAACAAACAATGCGATTGCCCTTGGGTTAGTTTTGTGCACACTCAGAAAAAATACGATACTAAGTAATTGGGAAATGCGCTGTCATCGAACTTCAGTATGTTTAAGCTGGCGTAAGAAAAGAAAAATATGTGAGGAAGAATGTAACATTGAACCAATGTCCGAAAAGCAGTCCAAGTTTGATTTTCCGCAAATTATGAGCAGTATTGGAAATGCTCATGATTTGTGAAAAATGAGCATTTCCAAAACTCATTACCATTGGAAATAGTGGGAACGAAGCCATTCACCTTGAGTGTCTTTCATTCGCTGTATGCGTAGTCGTAGAAAGGCAGGATCTGGACACTAGCGCAACGGTTACATTGGATCTTCATGCTCCACGTTTCAACACTTGAGCGTAGTGTGCGAATATAGTGGAAAGGGAGTCGGGCGGTAGGATCGGTCTTGTGTAATCGATTCGCCGCGCACAACAGTCGCAAACCATTACGTCTCGTCATTACAGTTTTAGCGTTCTTCATACAGCTCAATCGATATGCGATTGTTATTTTCGGCATGACCCTGATGTTAGTTCCTTTGCTCCTATATTTCTTACTTGCTGATGCATTCTGCTACACTCCTCCGCGCGCGGCACCTCTCTTGCCGCGACGCGACAATTTCGATCCTATTGCACCACATCCCTCGCGATTTCTCAATGATTAGCTAAACGTCGTGCTGCTGCTTAGTTAGTCGTGAACGGCGTTGTGATTTGAGAAACCAATTAAGGAACGAAGTGTTTCCTGTTTATCAATCTTATTTTGGGCATGCGCCCCGCATTCGGCTCTGGAACATGACAAATCGTCCGTCGTTTTACCAAAATTTGATTTCAGAGGTCAGAAAACAAGATGGGCCTCCAAGCATTAGGACTGCTCTTCCAGACAGTGCTGGACATAAGTCGGCAGCTCGTTTGCTACTTAATTGTAAATACTTGTGCAACGACATCAGAGAAGGCGTTGAAGGTTAGTTACTTGATCATGTGTCGGTCACGAAGAGTCAAGAATTTATTCGTAAATGCTGAACAACCTTTCTGAAGGCAAAGCTTTTCTGACTTGAACATTCTTAGAGAGTTCAAAGCAGCTAATGAAAGTATGTTGTATCAAGTCAGTTTCTTATCCTGAATGCGCTGCGACGTAGCGGTGATCAAATGATGTGATGACGGTAATGACGCCCATGAGCAACCTTGGGAACGACACCTTGGGAATTTCGAATGGAATTGCGGATAAATTGATGAAATTCCGAACGCTGTCTACGAATATGGAGATTGAAACTACAAAACGGCTTTCCTAATAGAGTTATGGGGCTCGAAACCCGCATGACAGCAGTGTCAATTGGAAATGCGAACTAGTCGGTTTGTGTCAAGCGTCGACGTGTCGTAGTGGTAGTGGTTCCACTCCACAGGCAGAAGATGTGAGCTTGGTAGCCGCCATCGTCGAGATTTTTGCAGTGTTTCTTCGTTTCATCAGAGGCTCTCAGAACCTTTTTTGTTATTTGTTCATGTAAGTGCGTTATTTCTGCTTTCATTTGCGTTTGTAGCATTTATTCAAGGAAGGATGGTTCTGCACGTTAATTTTATGACACCGCTTCACCTTGAACTTCAAGATACATGCAACAGAAAGATGCCAGTGATGTACTAGGTTCCTGTAAGGAGCTCAGTATTGATTAAAAAACCTGAAGAGATGTGCGCAGCACACATGTTAAGCAAACGGCGCTTTATATAATACAAACTGTTTCTCTACAACTGGAGGCAAAACAGTCATCTCAGATTGAACAAATACTCTCCAGAAGTGACACGGTAGTTGGGTTTTCATGAACACACCCAGCCGTGTATCAAGAGTAGTTCAAGAAAAAGAACGGGATGCACAGAAAATTCCACGAACTTCTGGTGAAACCTTTTCGCGGTGTTCATCATAGCTCTTGTATTCATTTCCTTCACAACGTTCTAACTAGGATCGAAGAAGGTGGTCAATGGTCGAATCATTGAAGTGGCACCGGCAGGAATATTGTGGTTTTCAACTTTGCATTCTGATGAAGCGCTTGTCAAGAGGTGAACCGCACAGTTTCTCATATACTACTATATATAACTCGCTAAGTGTGTCTGTTGGTTTGTCGGTTTGTGTCTGTGTGTGTTTGGCCGGAAATTCATAACTCCGGTTCCCATGGACCTAGAGAGTTGAAAATTGGCAGGAGTACAGGCGGCAAGATGGGAACGCTTACGGTGGGTGACCACGGGAACCTCTTCCACAGGGGGCGCGGTTTGTGCGAAATAAATAATTTGGCGAAAAGCCATAACTCCTGTTCCCGTGGACCTAAAGTGTTAAAATTTGGTAGGAACACAGGCGGCATAATGTGAATGTTCAAGGTGGGTGGCAGGACCGTACCCTGCGCACAGTGGCCCAGTGGGCGTGGTTTGAGTGGAAACTCATAAATTCTATGTATTCCCGAGGACCTAGAGTGTCAAAATTTGGAGGAGTACAGATGGCAGGATGGGAACACTAACGGTGGAGGTAGAACCGGACTCCGCCAACAAGGAGCGGGGTTTGTGTGAAAACTTAATTTTGGACTTAGGGTGTTAAAATTTGGTAGGAGTACAGTGAGCAGGATGGAAATACTTGCGTGGATGGTAGAAGCAGACTCCGCCCTTAAATTTGGATCTGGATCATTTAAATTCAGTAGGAGTACAGGCGGCAGGATGGGAACACTCATGATGGGTGGCAGGCCCACACTCCGCCCACGAGGGGCGAGGCGTGGGCAAAAAATGTTAATTTAGACCTGAAGCGAAATTTCGAAACGAAGGTTGAATAAGTCGGAAATGAATTGAGTTACTCAAACACGCAGAACCTAAGGAGGTTGTTCATGGCGGGGGGGGGGGGGGGGGCACGACTTCTGTTGGTTGAGTGTTTGTGCTTGGCCTGGAATGAATGGCTCCTGTTCTCATCCACCGAAACCTTAAAATTTGGAAAGAATGCAGGCGGGAGGGGTCCATTTTAACAAGAGGTGTGGAGCCCGACGTTAGCCGTGGATCCGACTGGTGCAATTATTAAACGCGTTACACAACGTCGGGCACAGCTTGTTCCATGCGGGAATCACGGGAAGACGACCACAGTCTGCGACAAGGTGCATTTCGTGGTGAGCGTCCATTCCACGAAAGGCGAGTCTCAATCCGATCGACCATGAACTCCTCGGTCATAGTGTATGTTGTGCCCGCTTCGACTAGTAGATTTGGGGCTTTGAATTTCTGAAAAAAATTTTTGAAATGGTATGTTGACGGCTTCGGTTCAAGGTAGGGTATGTTGACGAGCACTTAAGCTCTTACATATGTCACTCCTGGCAAATATTGTTCAATCTTCCAAAGGCTGCCCGGAGAATCAGCATGTATAAGGTGTTTAATTTATGAACAACATGGATGCCTCACACATTTTTTTCAGGTTTTTTTGTCAATGCTAGCTCCTTACAGGCACCTTGTACATCTCTGGCATCTTTCTGTTGAATTTTTCTTGAGGCTCAAGGTGAAGCAGTGTCATACAATTGACGTGCAGAACCATTCTTCCTTGATTAGGCGCGACAATCGCAAATGAAAGCAGAAATAAGGCGCTCACCTGAACAAATGTCAGAAAAGGTTTTGAAAGCATCTGCTGGAACGAAAGAACACTGTGCAAAAGTCCGATGGTGCGGAGCAAAACTGCATCTTCGTCTGTGGAGTGAAACCGCTATCACTAGGTCTCGTCGACGCTTGGTATCGATGCGACGAGGTCGCATTTCCAGTTGACACTACTGTCAAGCGAATTTCGAACTAGCGCAGCTTTTTTAGAGAAGTCACTTTGCAGTCCTGATTTCCATATTCGTGAACAGCATTCAAAACACTATCGATTAATCTGGATATCCAGTTCAAAGTTCCGTGGTAATTAAACCGCCCTTCCCTGAATAGGGGTCGGAGTCGGGGGTGGGGACATATACTACATGCCGACATTCTAGGTGAATGCTGAAAACAGTTAGAACAGTCCTAAACACCGATTTCGTTAATGCGCGATTTGGATGCTTCAGTCATTCACATCTCTATTCGGAAAAAACGTGTAGCGGATAGTACTAGTGGCTTACAAGTTTTTAATCTTCGATGCATTTTCTATTTTGTCTACGGTAATGGGTGTTACCTCTGATTTACTAGTAGTTTTGATAGATATCCGATAGCCTTCGTATATTACAATCTGGTCTCAAACTCCAAAATTTCGACCTAATTTCAGTAATTTTTCCGAATTAATATGATTATTAATATTATTATGATTTCAATTTTTTTTATGATGATTTCAATTCTTTTGTGTTCTTACATATTTTAAGTAATCTATCTTGCTGGTTACAGGAGGAGCACCTCTTTGGCGATGTGACAATAGTACCGTGAGTTTTGTATTTTTTCTTTACTAATAGCATTAATAACTTTCAAAGAAAGGCACATAACATCATCAAAAAAGGTATACAGGTTTCCCGTTTAATAACTTACGGGGACAAGCACTGATACTCATCGAAACATTGAGCGTAGTGGATGGAGTTCGGGAGCGAAAAATCCCTACTTAATTATGGGATTCAAATTAAATAACGAATCTGAAACAATGAGACTACCAGAAATTTATGTTTACATTAAATACATTGAATTGACATTCATTTCTGAGTTTGTTGGTGCCAATTATTTCCTTGCCGGTCCTCTGGAATCGAGCTCAATTTCAACCATGCCGTCATCTAGCTTTGACGTTTTTCTCTTTGACCTTCCCTCTTCGGCGCTTGCAATTTTTCGCTTTTTCTAAAAAAGAAATGCTTATCAGTCACAATGATCATGTAACCACGAGATCAATGCCTCCATTTCTCCTTAGTGACCCAACTCGGGAAGACATCCTTATAAACGAATTTACGTAGTAAGTTATTGCAGAACATGTTGTAAGGCGTTAGGAAATGTTGAGATTGATTTCGGAAAGAGGAGCGCTTTAAGGGACAAAATTACAACGTACCCGCATGAATAGCATAACGGCAACTATTGCTATGAGAGAGATGATGGCAATCACGATCACGGTGGCCACCACAGCAGAATTTTTGTTGCCTGAAATTTGGACTACCATTTGTCGTTTTGTACATCTACGATATTGTATATCTTCGCATTTGGAACAATCAAATGCCGAGATTTGAATGTTCGCGAATTGATAATCTTGACCATTGCCCAGTGAAAAGAGTTTTATGAAGCTCCCCTTCTCGTCTGACCATTTCCATTCAATGTCACAATACATTATCGTTCATGCCGCCCTTATATAACGCTGTTGAGATTAAGCTGTTAATATTATACGTGAGAGGGGATCCAGTGCCCGCTGCATAATCCTTACTATATATAAAGCGCTCTGTCTGTCTGTCTGTCTGTCTGTACGGAAATTCGAGATAACCTGAAGTAACACCTGGAGAAGTCGGGTCAAGTTTGGAATAGGTTGAGCATAGGGTAAGTGCAACAGAGCACATGTGAGCTTGGCGGAGCTCCTCCCCCAAGGGGCGGGGCATGCGCCAGGATTGGGCGGGGTCATGGACTAATTCTTCTATTTCGGTCTCATAACAGTCCACACGCTGGGAAAAAATGTGCAAAGGTGAGGAACGGGTCTACAACTAAAAT